AAAAAAATAGAAATAGGTACTTATTAAAAGTTTTTAATCAAGATAAATTATTTATTATTTAATATATGACATTATCATATATATAAAAATTTATTTATTAACTAAGCATATTTTTAATAAAAAGTTGGCATGCCGATAACATTATAAATTAAATAATAAATTATTTATTTTAAATAATAATTTAAAAATAATTTATTTTTATTTTTTAAAAAACGAATTTATTCCTGCCCTAAAATTTTTGAGGGGGTTTGTCCTTTTCATTATACACGTTCTCAGCGCATAGAATTGGCCCCCGCTGTAAGTGCACACTACTTGTCCATCCATCGTCACCATGTCCATTGTGACAAGAGTCCAAAATGAACAATTGTGTATATCAACAATCGTCATCAACCCAGCAGGTTATACTGAAAAACAGAATCGTCACATGATCTTATTATTAATGAGATAATTGTTTTACAATTTTTTTTTTGAACATTTTGTCATGGGACCGGCTCAAACCGTTACTCTAGGAGAAGAGGATATAAACCTTACAAGCGTAGCTAGAGGCACTTGACCCGAAGGGTCAAGTTCTAATTGTTTTACAATTTGTCCATAGCATATTGCATGTATTTTATAACTGTTAATAGAAATAAAGATACCTTAATATTTGAAGACTTTTAGTACCCATAAATATTTATAAGATGTTTTGTTTAATAATTAGATAATAGTTGATATATGTTTTATGATAATATATTTTATAATATAATTATTAAAAATTATTTATTTAAATTTAAAAAAATTTAATTCAAATATAAATTTTAACAACTAATTAATAAATATTAATTCATATATTAAATTAAAAAATATATCAATTATTTTCCTTAAAATTTTGTTATTATTATATTACAACGTGCAATGAAATTAGGGCCCTTTCAAAAGCCGCAACTTTCGACTTGCGCTCCCATTGATTTGTCGTTTTCTTCTCCCATTTTTTTTAATCTGTACACGTTTTGCTGCTTTGTTTGACAAATGGGTTAGGTTCGGACTTCCGAGCTTCCCATAGTTCCTTTTGCAGGTGTCATTTTTCTGCTGTCCCCCTTGATCAACACTGAGAATCTATTCCTAGATATATATATATATATATATATCTAGGTTGGATTCTGTTTAAGATTCTCCGTAATTATACTGGTGTCAGGGTTACATTATATTCCGAGATAAATATATATATAGGTTGGATTCTGTTTAAGATTCTCATAGTTCCTTTTGCAGGTGTCATTTTTCTGCTGTCCCCCTTGATCAACACTGAGAATCTATTCCTAGATATATATATATATATATATATCTAGG